ATCCAAGTTGAAACACAGAAAAGATGTTGACACACATAAGCAGAGAAGAGAGAGAGAAAGAAAGAGAGAGAGAAAGATGTGATAAAATATATATATATAGATATATATAAGATATATATGTCTAGTTATTGTTTTGATTGATTGGAGTAGCTAAAAGAAACAAGAGTCAACATGAACGAGACAACAACAAATTATTCAGACCCACTGATCCGGCCAAAAAGAGATACAAAAAGATCCACAAAAAGAAGAAGAAGAGTCCATCATCAATCAACCTCCTCCCTCCCCCCGCCTGTCCACAAATTAAAAAGCTAACTGAAAGCCCCAGGGGAAGAAGTGTGGGAAGAAGAAGAAGAGTGCTCAGGTTGAGAAGGATTGGGATTAAGGACCAACGAGTTGCGGACATTCCTGATTCGGATCTCGAGCGACTGGAGCAGCAATTCAATCTGCGCAATTTCCAGATCTGGGGACAAGACCCCCGCATTCTCCGTCCCAGATTGTCCATCACCGTCTCCAGGGGCGTCCTGGTTTAAAGGAGAAGGCTCGGTTGTCGAGCCTTCGAAAGAAGACAAAGGGTTATCGAGTGGAGAAGAAGATGGAGATGGAGATGAAGAGTGGAGAAGGATCGGATGGTCCCGGAAGTATTCGTGCAAAGCTTCGCGCACGGTATGGGCGACGTCGCGCGACAACTGCTGATCATAATGGCGATGCTTAGAGTTCTGATTCTGAGGAGGAAGAAGAAGCTGCTGGGAAGGATCGTCGAAATGGACCGGAGAAGGACTCGTTGTCGTCGTCGTCGAAGAAGAAGAATGATGATGATGATGACGAGGGGGAGAGAAGGAGAGGAGCAAGTTCCAGACGAGGAGGAGGAAGACCAGGCCGATTGAGCCGAGCATCATCCAGGACAACTCGAGTCCAAAGAGCGAGACAACAGCTGTTCCTGAACCGGACCCGATCTTAGAAGACGTACGATTCGCGTCCGATGGCCGGCTCTCCGGGGTCCCTTTGACCGTCCCACTCCGGCCTGCTTGAGCCATCGAAATCGGCCTCCCTCGTTCCCCTTTCGCTTTGACTCCTCCGACTCCCAAACCCGCTCCAACTCCTCCGCCGCTATTTCCCGCTCCTCCGGCACTCTCAACTCGCTCGCTCATCGGCTCCGGAGGCTGAGATAGTTGGATGTGTTTTCGTAACGCTTGATCGACTCCGACTTGATAAGCTTTCTGTCCACTAATGGCCGAACTTTCAATAATAGCTAAAACCAACCCCCGACAATTGACATTAATTAATAAACATACACCAAAATAAGGGAAAAGAAAAAGTGTGACTTTACATTTCAAGAACCGATTAACTTTAGTCCATTCAACAGCAGCGGTGACGAGCCACCTAGAAGAGTTATTCGGACCCCAAGTAATACACGTCAAAGTGCGAACGCAAAAGCTGCCACCAGCGGGCGCATCGGGGGTTCTAGCGGTGCTCAAGACCGAGACGTATTTGTCGAAATCCAGGGCGCGATGTTCATCAGATACCAAACATTTGATCGTCTTCGGACCCACCGGCGCATTCACCGGTCGGATATATGACACCGATCTCGACGGATATTGGGCTTCTGGTGACGTCGTCCAGTCTCCTACTTCGATCTCTGTATATCCATCATCATCATCAGAGAAAAGAGAAACAGGGGTTTTTGTTAAGTTGTCTTGTAATGGTTTATGTTTAGATGGAAGGGAGGAGAGAGGAACTGACCCGTTAGATGCTCCTCATTGACCCAAAAGTCTTTCAAGAAATCCGATTGGAACAAGATATTATAAAGTTTCTCAGGGGAGGTAGGATAAGTAGCGTCCCAGATAAGTTCCTTATAATGCTCGTCGGGGGAACATTCGCATTGCGTCGGAGGATGGTCAATTTTCTTGATAGGAGGAGCGGGCGTGGCAGAAGAATGGGAGAGAGCGGAGGCAGATGAGTCTTCCGAATACCCTCCTGCGACTTTCGTCCCATCACTCAAATCATCTAAGGCGGGCATCGTCACATCCAGAGTTAAGCCATGCGTCGGTATGCTTCCGGGCGGGCGGGCAATATTCCAGATCGAATTCATCAAATCAAACGTCGCATCTCGGGAAAGGAATGAGGCAAATGTATGCTGAAAAACAAAATAAAACTTAGACAATCATTATAAAAAAATAAACAGTTTATTATCAAGTGGACTTACTCGACTCTGAGTGGTGATCACTTGAATAGCATTAGGAATGATCAAAGCAGTCATCCGTTTTTCGACGGTCACCACATCAGAAAAAGGAATGACGAGCTGCTTGGAAACCAAAAAAAAAAAAAATCAAACATATCAAAGTCAACACATTTTTTGTTTTGTTTTCTCTGTTTGAAAGAGAGAGAGAGAGGGATTACTAACAGTGGTAACCCAACCAAAGATATTAGCATTGAAACAGAGATGTTGCTCCGAAATGTATAAGCGTCCTTGGACGAGAATATCACGTTGTAAAGCACATCCGTAATCTATAATTATCAACCAAGAAATCAGCATCTTTCTCTAGAAAAAAAAAGAGAGAGAGAAAGAGACCGACCTTCGATGAGATAATCGTCCTCAGGAATAGACTTAAAGATTGCATGAAAGTCGACGTTCCTTTTGCGACTAGCGACAGCATAACCCGCGCCCAACTGGTCGTCCAAGGCGGAGAGATTGTAAGCGCGGGAGTCGGTGGTATGGACGGATGTGCGGTCCTCCTTTTCGAGTAGATCTGGGGGAGAGGAGCGAGGATGATGGTTGATGGAGGAGGAGGAGAAGGGTTGATGGCCATAGATGGAGGAGACGGCGGTGCCAGTGGAGGAGGAGGAGGTGGATGAGGATTGCATGTTTCCAGAGAGGTTGAAGGGCGTCGAATGGGGGGCTAGGGAGACGCCTGAGAGGGCCAATGCACTGGCGATTCCAAAGCTTGGGGTGGGTGTGGAGGCAGCACTACTACTCGCACTCGTGCTGTTATTGGTCAATGAGCGGGACTCTGTTTTGGGCTTGCGATTCTGGGCTCGTTTTCCGGATTTCTTGACCTGTCTGGGGAAGGAGGAGGAGGTGGTAGTAGTCGAGTCGAGTGAGGAGTGAGGGGTCGGGGGTTGGCTGGGCCCGGATGATGATTGGAGTTGTGCGAGGTTGGGTGGGTTGGCAGCCGAGAAGAGTGAGGTGGGTCGTTTGACGGGCAGTGGTGGTGCTGAGCGGGTGGTAGTGGGACTCGCTCGATGGCTGGTGAGGTGTGGT